GGGAGAGCCCAGCTCAGAGGCTGGGGCTGACCTGCTCCCAGGAGCGGTGCTGCAGTCCACTGCCCCTTCTCAGGCTGCGCCTCCGAGGGCACCGGGCCATGCGTGGGAACCGGCCTGGGGGAGGAGCTGCCTCAGTGTGGCATTCTTCTCAAGCAGGCTGCCTCTCTCCCACCCGCCATCCCAGCCAGCGAGCCAGCGTGCGCTGGGCACCGCAGGCACAGGCCAGCGCCCTCTCCTGTTCTCTATGGACGCGCGACGCTCTTCAAGTTGGCTCCTGCTACTTTAGTTGGGTTTTGGCTTGGAGGTGTGTGGTTTTCCCTCTCTTCCCCTGGTCCACAGCCCTGAACCCCCTGAGCAGCCCTGAGACCAGGCCTTCCCTGCAGCCTGCTCCTTCTACTTTGGAGCCATTTCAGAGGAGGGGGGTTAAAAGGCCACAAGCACAGAAGTCTTGCTGACACAATAGTTTGGAATAAGGATGTTCATTGAGTTGATGTGTACAATGTTAACTGGTGTTAGACTGTTTGCTCCTTGTCAATTGTTCGGCTTTTGGTGTATATAAACAAGAACCCAGCGGTGCTGTGAAAAACCAGAGATCCAAAATGGATTCTAATATACATACATATATATGTGAATACAGGAAGCATTCCATGGTTCTTTTCTCCAAAGCCAGCAGAAGGCAAGCAGGGGGTCAGACACAGTGACAGTCAGCCTGGGCCTGGCCACCACAGGGGCAGTCGGAAGCACTGGCGCTGGCTCCAGCCTTCACCTGGGAATGCGAGTTTCTTCCCAAACACCCTGTGTGGAGGGAAGGGCTGGCTTTTCCACCGCCACAGGCGCGCATGGCACTGTGGAACCGTAGGTAGATATCGAAAGGCCTCCTGAAGCAGGCGCTTCGGCCTCCCGCCACACACCACGGCCCAGGAGCGGATGGAGGGACAGCCGTTCCCGTGCCCCTGTCTGCCGTCACTAGGCTGTGTCCCCGAGTGCCACTCCACGCCCACGGAAGGCTTTGGGGCCTTGAACAGGGAACCGGGGAGCAGGGAGAGTGCATGCATTGGATCGCGGCTGCCGTGGCTTCCTCCAGGCAGAGCCAGCTCCGCCCTGCCCGGGGACGGTGCGGAGAGCAGGGAGGGCAGAAGGCTAGACAACCGGGGCACCGGCGCCAACCCTGCAAAGAGGGTGGGGCATTTTCAGCACTCGATGCACAGCCATGCTGGGGCCCACATGGTATTCTATTTTCTCTGAATTCTCTCTTCCTTGACCGGTGTTTTGCTGGCTAACTCTGCTGCTGCTTGGCCCTTCTACATGCTGCGCCCACTTCCAATGTGCGCATACGCATCTATAACAAAGCTTATCACGAACGCTCTTTACGACTGAACAACTCAGACAGAACGTGGCAGCACCACCGCCAATGAACACATCCCAACTCTTGCCTCCAAAACCCAACAAACAGCACACAAGCAGCTCCCGCAGATCTCCGGCTAATGGATCGGCTGCTCACTTCAGCATGAGCGTTCCCACAGATGGCTGCCAGTGCAGTGCTCCATCAGTCCCAGGCAGATCCACTCTCAAGAGTCTCACTTTCGGGGTCACTGAGGTTGGTGGGAGCAAGACTGACGCGAGTGGAGGATGCCTAGAGGTTTCCTGGGTGGCCGGCTGGCCAGGCCCCACGGAGGCGCAGAGAAGGGCTGAGGAGCAGTGGTGGTAGTGTGGGGATCGCCGGTGGAGGCAGCACTGGGGGGAGCAGCGAGGCAGGGAAGGCTCTAGGATCACCCATTGGTCACAGGCTTCTGAGATTCTCTCTGATGCCTCCCTCAAACTGGAAAACATTCTATGGGGCAAGTTTCTTCTCCTCTCCCTAGCCTCCTGATTTTTTTGTACTCGGGGTCTTGCTATGCAGCCCAGCCCAGCTTTAAACCCACAACCCCTGGCACGATCTCCTGAGCCCTGTGCTGGGGCCGCCCCACCAGCAGGGGCTACCTCTGCACCCAAACACTGGACCACATGCACACGAACACTCGGTACAAAGACAAAACTAAGCTAAAACCAAAGACCTAAACAGAAGAACTAAGGCTATGAAACTCTCAAAAAATGTAGAAAAAGTTTCATGACAATAGATTTGTTCATAATTTCTTGACTATGATACCAAAGGACAAATGATAAAGTAAAACAGCTAATTTACACTAGATGGAAGTTTAAAATTTCTATGGCTCAGGAGACACAAAGTGAAAGGGCAAATTATTTGTAAATAATCTAGTAAGAGGCTGATACAGATTATATGATATAAAACAAGGGAAAAACAAATAAGCTCAATTAAAAAATGGCTAGATGCTGATAGCTCATGCCTGTAATCTTAACACATTCAGGATGATGAGATTTAAAGGACTACAGTTTGAAACCTGCCAGGGCAGAAAAGTCTGTGAGACTTGACCCCCAAAATAACAAGCAAAATGTAGAGTCAGAGGCATGACTCAAGTGGTACAGAGCCAACTAAGTGAGCAAGCACCAGGCCCCGAGTTCAAACCCTAGTATGGCAAAAAGGGAAAGGGGGCAAAAAATCTGGTGTCAGTGGCTCACACCTGTCTTCCTAGCTACTCAGAGGCTGAGAATGGGAGGATTGCAGTTCAAGGCCAGCAAGGAAGAATACTTCCCTAGACTTAATCTCTAAAAACAATCAGCAAAAAGGTATGACTCAAGTGGTAGAGTGTCAGCCTGGCAGGAACAAAGCACAAAAGGGGTGAGGGTAGCACCTGAATACACATTTCTCCAGATAAAGACATTTTGCCAGCAAACATAAAAAGATGAGCAGCATCATGCTGGTTTGGATGTGGTCTGGTGGTCTGTCCCTCAAAAGGTTCAAGAGTGGAAGGCTGGTCCTTAGAGTAGCAATGTTGGGAGGCGGTGGGCCTTTCAGAGAAGCAGGTCTGGGGGGGTGGGCGGGGATGGTGGAGAGAATACTAGGGATTAGCACAGACCTCACTTGTCTCTGGTCCCCCTGGCTCCAATGCCAGGCCAGGCACCCTGGGGCCTCACCCCATGAAGCACATGGTGGGCACCAGACCTTTAAATTTTCAGAATCAGAGCTAAGTATCTTTTTTAAAATCAAGAATCTAGGCACAGATATTATACTAACAGAAAGCAGAGTCATTAATCATCAGGTAAATAAAAAGCAAAGTCCCAGTGAGGTACTGCCTTAAACCTGTTAAGATATCATGTCTACAGCCTAAAAACAAAAGCAACACACACTGCTAGCGATGAGAAAAGAAACTGGAAGCCTTGTGAACCACTGGTAGGAATATAAAATGGCATAGGAATTCTTCAAAAAAATAAAAACAGATGTGCACATGATCCAGCAATTCTACTTTGGTGGTCTTGAAGACGTATTTGCACTCGTGCTCATAATAACATAGTTCACAATACCAGGTGAATGGAAAAACAAAATGTAGTCTATGGTGAAACGGGAATGTATCCCCAACTGTAAAAGAGTAAGGAAATTCTTATTTATGCTGCAATATGGATGAGCCTTGGGAACATTTTTGTAAGTGAAATAAGCCAGTCAAGAAAGCTAATGTATAATCGCCCACATGAGGTGCAATGAGGTTCCTGGAGTGGGCCCACTCGGAGCTGTCCAATGGGGCTCAGTTTCAGTTTTATAAGGTGAAACAGGTTTGGAGATGGACGGGGGTGCAGGCTGCACAATGGAGTGAATGTCCTTTATGCCGCTGAGCTGCATTCAAAGTGCTTAAGATGTGAAAATCTAAGTTACATCTATTTTACCACAGTCAAAGGTTGAAAGTAAAGGTTAACAAAGGTTTGTGGTAGTCTGCACCTGCAGAGGACAGGAAAGAAAAAGCCTGTTTGAGCTTTCCACGTCCTTGTATTAATAAACTACACAGCCTCTATGGACCTCCATTGACTGGGCTGTAAAACAAATAGCTTGTTCCAACTTCAAAAGGATTTGTCTGTTCACTGAGTGTTTTAAAATTTCTTTTCTTCATGCACAGAGTGCATAAGCAGTGCCACTCATATTCGGTTTACACCTCCTCCGCCTCCATTCTTTCTGGAAGGCCTTCCAGTAACAAGTACTCCTTTCTTACCATTTTCCTTTTTTCCTTGTTAGGACTTTTTATTTTCTCACCAGCTCATTAATGTATCAAGCCGTCACACGCCTCAGGGTGGAGACACGCTCACAAACACACTGCAGCCTCCACACGCCTCAGGGTGGAGACACGCTCACAAACACACTGCAGCCTCCACACGCCTCAGGGTGGACACACGCTCACAAACACACTGCAGCCTCCACACGCCTCAGGGTGGAGACACGCTCACAAACACTGTGGCCTCCACACGCCTCGTGGGTGGAGACACGCTCACAAACACACTGCAGCCTCCACACGCCTCAGGGTGGAGACACGCTCACAAACACTGCAGCCTCCACACGCCTCAGGGTGGAGACACGCTCACAAACACGCTGTGGCCTTCACGTGCTCAGTGTGCAGAGGGCTTGCCCTCACGTGAGACATACTGCAGACACAGAGTGCTGGCGGTTCGGCACTGCGGCCTCCGGGCACAGAGCTCCTCAGACAGCTCCCCCTTGTTCTGTCCCTGCAAGTACCGCTGGCTTCAAATGTGACCAGCGCACCCTGTCGCTGCTGCTGCTCTGCAGGACCTGCTCTTTGCTGAGACCCCACGATGGCCGCCAGCACCCGAGCTCAGCCTCTGCTCCTCATTCCGAGAACTCAGCTTTGCTCCTGGGCCCTGGGCTGGCTCCAGGAGAGGGACAAGCCTGTGAGGGCGGCCAATGGACTGGGCCTAGGGCATGCAACCACAACCGGCCATGAGTGTTGGGGCCAGGCGTGCCCGCTTCCCCAAAGTCATCTACAGCAGAACCTCAGGAGGGTGGGCCTCAGGATCAGGGCATTTCCAACACACACACTCCCCCAGGATGAGCATGGCTCTGTGGCTGTATCTGAGCGAGGGCGCACGCACACGGAACTCACCTTCCCCCATAGGCAGGCTCTGCAGTTCAGGCCAGGTCCATAAATGTGAGTGCTAAGATGCACAGAGGCTCAGAGTGTCATCACCAGAACCGAGGGTCTGCAGCAGTCTGGGCTTGTCTGGAGCCCACCCACCTGCAACAAAGGAACACAGGGCGCATGAGCTCCCAGCGCATGCCCTAGCCATCAGAACGGGGTCACACAGCATTGCTTCCTGCATTCAACAGGGAAGTAAACATTTCTGAAGCATTTAAGTCCAAAGCCCATGTGGAGAGGTGTGCACCGGCAGAGCTGACCTTGGGACGTCTGTGAAGGCAATGAGACGTGGGGCAGGCCACCACAGGCTGCCAAACCCGTATCAACATTCTATTGGTAGTAGCTAGTCTATGTATCTGTATATATATTCATTTCAAAATGCCATTTCCTGAACTGCACATTAACTTAAGTACATTGCTAGCCTCTTGAAGCCCAGCCAAGTACTGCTGGCTCATGCTTGTAATCCTAGCTACTCAGGAGGCTAGGGACCATGGTTCAAAGCCAGCCCATGGCAGAAAAATCCAAGAGATGCAAAAAGCCGGAAGTGGAGATGTGGCTCAAGTGATGAAGCTCCAGTCTTGAGAGGAAAAAGCTGAGTGGTGTGGGTGTGGGTGGGTGTGCGCACCACACACACAAACACCAGTAGAGTCCTTCGGGACTTGTGAGAGGCAAGAGGAAAACACAAATCTTTACAGCTGATGAAATTACTTCCCATCTACAATGTGAGGTTCTATAGCATTCCATAGCATGCTAAAACTATTAACAGTGCAAATATAAGACTCCAGAAATGCAGAACTAAGTCTGATGAATGCAAATAGACCATTAAGATAGGCCAAGATAGGAAGCTGTGGAATGAAGTAGAAAAGAAATCAAAGAGAAAGGTAAAATCAACCTGGAAATACTCTTATAAGGGGCCAAAGGAGAATAAACAAAATTGAATGTATAAGGGAAGCCTGCAAAACACAGGAGAAAAAGAGACAGAAAGATAAAAATGATCAGAGGAAATCTGACAGATACAGAACAGAAGTTAAAATAGATCCAAGACATTGGTGCTCCTTGAAAAGAACAGCAAAAGTGTAAGGCAGAACTTGTACTTAAAGTTAAACCCTTAGAAATGTTTTTAGGAAAAAAATGACTCTGAACTGAGGCAGTTCTCATGTATCTGTGCCAGGATGGTGGCCTGTAAGGCACAGAAGAAGGGTCTGATGCATGTACCCCTTCCTTTCTGTTGGCATCATATAATTATGTGTTGAGCAATTGGAAGAAACCCCCAAAGGTAGTCCACAACCTGAAAATGCCAAAGGACACAGCAGAAACGTTAAAGCTCTCCAAACTCCTTCTCACACAGCCTATTCTTGTAAAGGTTACAGGACAGACAAAGACCAGTCTGCTAACAGGCGTGCTGGCCACAGAGCAAGGAGGGCTACACATCCACTCCAGCTTGCTTCCTACCAGGGCTCCTTCCTCACTGTCAGCAGAGACCACTGAAACATTTGTGTAGGACACAAACCAAAGTTACTTGTCAGAAACAACTAGGAATATCTCAGCACGAAAGAAAAGGTCAGCGGACAAAGGCTGACACCAAGAGGGCAGAGATGTCAGAATTCTTTCACAAGGATGTTAAAACAGCTATCATAGACATGTTTCAATGAGCATCTATAAATACATACAAAATTTCTCAAAAAACCTCCAATAAGTAGGAGATATGATGCACAAGTAATAAGCTACCAAAAATAAATAAACACGACAAAATGACCATGATATCCCTGTAGCAACTAAAAGAAATGAAACTTATAATAAACAGATCCAGAAATAGAAATCCACAGTACTATAAGCTTTCACTAGAGAAGTCCATATAACGTTTATAGAAAAATGTAACACAAAACATCTGCCAACTTACTTTTCTAAGCTTCTATTACTCTTGCATCCAAACTGGAGATAAGACTGTGTAGAGAGAGGGGCTGCAGCTAATCCCTGAGGGACACAGGTGCAAACAAGGTAAAACAATGAAACAACCAGCAAAAGAAGTCCGGAAATGCACAAAAATGCATAAGTTGTGATCAAGAAGGATTTAATCAGGCCTTCATGGCCTGTGCTGTACTCAGGAACCAATCAATACAATCCACATATTATCAAACGTGATCATTCTAACTGATGTACAACAAAGATCTGACAAAATTCAATACTGATTCAAGATAAAAAAAAACAACAACAACAGCAATTTAAGGACAGAAAGTGATTACCTCCACTTAATAAAGACCAACCATCTTTTTCAGTTCAACTGCTATAACAAGGTACAGAACAGAGCGGCCATTACGAAAGCCAGCGCCGATGCTGGGAGCGCCAGGTCGGTGGTTTGCTCTCCTGAGGCCCCTGCCCCCGGGGGCGGCCGGCGGCCACGTTCTTGTATCTTCACATGGCAGAAGAGGAAAAGAGATCATTTTAGGGTCTCTGTTCAAAGGCACCAATCCTCTTCCCCAGAGCTGCATGCACGTGAGCTCAGGCCCTCCCAGAGGCACCATTGATACTAGAGAAAAAAACATGATAGAACCAGGGATTTAAGAAGCCAAACTACCCTCTTCTATGAAAGTCACTGGTAAAAAGGGGAGAGCCTGCACGAACACCGGGAAGCTTTGCCCACAAGCCCATCCTGAAAAATCTAGCAGATAATATGCTGGGCTAACAGGAAGTATCAGAGATGTTTTGTCATAGGTCTGGGGATAACAGTGAGAAATTCAACTAAGAAACTGTGCTGAACGCTGGACTTAAAGCAACAGAATAATATGGAAATATTAAATGATCTAAAATATACATCTAGGAAAATGTAAGAAGAAGAGAGGAAATTGAAATTGAATAAAGTTTCCTGAAAGTTCCACAGCTACAAAGAGCAAATTGATATGACAAGAAAATAGATACCAGGGAAGAGGAATCTATCAGAAGAGAGGTTCATGTGAATTATTTATACAGGTAACAACATAAAGCCAAGAAAAATCACAAAGGAAATATGAAAAAAAGAGAAAATAAGTTAAGGAACTCACTTATATGTATATTTTTATCTTTTCAAGAAGCAATACAAATATTTTAAAAAGCTAAATGCATCTATCAAAAGAAGGGATAGAGGAATTTTTCTGAATAGAATTCACAATAAATTTTGACTATAGAATTATGTAGTAAAATGTATTTAATCAAAAATAAGTATTTTTTTAAAAGTCTCTATAAGCTAGGAAAAAACTAAGTAAAAATCAGGTTGATAGTATACCTTCTAGAAATAAGGCTTGTAGGAACTGACTATTAAATGCAGGAATCTGACTGCATATCTTTGGGATATTTTATAAGGATAGAAAAACTGCAAGGAAAGATGTTAATCTTAATTCAGTCATTTATTGATACCAGTATTGCCAAAACTTGTTTATAAATGCATATGAAAAAGCAAATGAGTACCCATGCTAATAAGAAAACCTGGGCACCAGTGGCTCATGGCTGTAATCCCAGCTAATCAGGAGGCTGAGATCTGAGGATCAAGGTTCAAACCCATCCTAGGCAAATGCTCAAGGCTCTTATTGTGAGCAGAAAAAGCCAAGCAAGAGCTTGAGACCCTGAGTTCAAGACCCAGTACTGACCACTCCCCCGCTCCCACAGGAGAAGGGAGTGGGTCGGGGTAATGAGAAACTAGCATGAACTTTTAAGATTAAGTAAAAATCATAGTAGAAACTATATTTGACTCATTAACTTTCCTTTCTTTTAAAAACATTAGTATTAGTTCTCTTACCTAAATTTAAGAGAAAGCAGTAACAACCCAATTGAAACAAGCACTCTGCTGCCCAGGCTGTAGGTTCTAAACTGTGCCCCAACTGGGGCAGGCATGCACCCAGAGGAGCTGCCCGCTCGAAGGCCGAGGAAGGGAGCGCAAAGACACGGCAGGAATGTATGTGCAACAGACAGAATCTTTTTGATGTCTGAAGCTACATGAAGTCAAAAAGATTCAGGAGCCAGAAAGAACAATCTGAGTCAAGAGGATAATGGTTACATATGTATAATTGGTAAATTAACAATGGTGCTTTATAAAGGAAATCAGAAAAAGAAACAAAACATATCTGACAACATCAGATGCGGCCAGCACCGACTCACTCCCCCGGGAAGTAATTACCTGCAGAGATTTAAGCATTTACCCTGCTGTTCTGCTACAAATCACTTCAGGAAACTAAGTTGCCTTAGAGAATGAGACAAAAATCATTCTGTACAGAAGAATTGCATGCAGGAAATACATGTCTAGGAGTCACTGTTCTGCAACCCCTAATCAAACAATCATGCCAACCGTGATCGCCACGGCCACACACGCTCGCAGACCCTCCGGCCTGGCCTCTGGGAGGGGAACAATGGGACAGTGAGCAGCCAGTGCGGGCAGGCGAGAGAAGGCTAAACACTGAAACGACACTGTGCCCTGCCTACGATAAAAACCTCCGCCTGACTACGGGGCAGCCACAGACCTGCGGGCTAAGGAAATACAAGGGCTGTTCTGAATGACAGACACCTGAGGAAGCAGCCCCCAAATCCAAGGCCCACGAACTTCTTCAGAATGGCTTCTCCCACAGGCGATGGATGGCTCTTCTTTGGGTCTTGACTGACGATGAGCATGGAAACGCCTGTTTCACATGGACACCTTTGTGTTGTGCCCTACCTACCCCATGAGGTCCAGTGATCGCAGAGCCTATTCTTCCTAGGAAGAACCCCGTCACACCCTGAGAAGGAATTTGGTTTTGTCAGTCAGATATGTCTCTTGTGGGCAGCAGATGGATGAGTCTTGCTGTTTGACCCAACAAGCCACTCCGTGTCTACTGACTGGAGAACTGAGCCCATCGATACTGAGTGTTAGCAGGAGAAGCCTGCCAGGGCTCCCTTTTGGGGACTCACTGTACCTCTTCTGCTCTGAGTACTTTTACCTGCACCTCTGCCAGGGTCTGTTTTCTATGCCTATTTCATGTTTGTGTCCATTTTTTTGTTTGTGGAACATCTGAGTATCTTCTGTAGTGTTGGTTTACAGGCAATAGATTGTTTCCGTTTTTTGTTTTTATTTATCCTTCAGTTATGAATGAAAGCTT